CTCTCTTTCTCTCTCTCTCAGGTAGCCCCCCCCCCCCTCCCTCTCTCTCTATCTCTCTTTTTTTTTCTCTCTCACTCTCCGTTTTTCTCTCACACTCATAACAATAAATAGAAACTCTCTCTCTCTCTCTCTCTCTCTCTCTCTCTCTCTCTCTCTCTCTCTCTCTCTCTTTTGTGCGCACTCTTAATCTCATTGATTTGGCTATTTTAGGGCTGCGTTCCCCGTGCCGATGCGGTAAACAATTTTAAGAAGACGAACCTCAACGCCTGGGCCTGAGGTCCCTTTTGCACTTCACATGCCCTCACTTCTTTTTGGAGTCCGCTTTCACCCGAGAACCAGTTCATAGCCCGTCAGGAGTGCGTTTTCCCCCCGTGAGATATTTCCCACCCTGAGACATTTTCGTCATCCTTCGTTATACCGGTCGTTGATTCAGGCTCGTTTAGTCGTTGGAAGGTTCGAAAAATGCAGGCAGGTGCAGACACGACACTTTGGGGGGTAGTGGCAGTTTCTTTGAAAAATGCGGGACCGGTAGTTGCCCGTAGGACCGTACGCTGGGTTTTGGTCCAAACGGTGGCAAAGTAGTGACAGGGTGGAACTTTGGGGGGTGGTGACAGTTTCTTTGAAAAATGCGGGACCGGTAGCTGCCGTGGGACCGCGCGCTGAGTTTTGGTCGAAATGGTGGCAAAGCAGCGGCAGGGTGGAAAAGTGGAAAAGTCTGAATCGGAAAGGGCGCGGCCTTGGCCGCAGGTTGAAATGACACACCTGCATTGCATTTGCAAGTGCAAACAGATGTGTATGAACGTGGACGTATTCAAAGCCCCACACGTTCAGCGCCCGATTGAGTGAGTCACATGTGGCCATTTTGCTCATTGTTTGCGTGCCATCTCTCTCTCTCTCTCTCTCTCTCTCTCTCTCTCTCTCTCTCTCTCTCTCTCTCTCTCTCTCTTTGTGTCTGTTTATCAATCAAGCATATACAAACTACGGGTTGCGCACCCGTGCCCTCACGGTAAGTCAATCCAACTGTCCGCCAAAATTTTTTGCCCCCTAAGAACCCACTTTGCGTCCTGGTCGCCCGCTGCAGAAAATGCAAGACCTTGACACGGACGCCGAAGCCCACTATACCGCAGCCTTAGGGCTGCAAACCCGGTAGCATCCAATGAGGGAACATGTAGGGGTTGGACCAGCAAGGGGTCAGCTGGTAGCCGGAGGACCGAGCTTCTTTGACGGGCCAGTCGCTGTGCAGTCTCTGCTCGATTCCGCTTGGGTGGACAAGCGGCCTATCTCTTGGTGGCGGGAGCCAAGCTTGCCCGCGATGGGAATCGCACCCAAGACCTCCTGAGTGCCACTTGGGCGCCTTACCAACTGAGCAAGGTAGACAAAAGAGAGAGTAGCATAGTCGAAGTATCACTCTCTTGGAAGTATGTGGCCCTCATTACGGTCAAGTCCGCTGTAGAAATCCTTCCTGGCGGCCCTATACTGTACGGCATGCGGCAAACACGTGGAAAAGTGAACAACGTGCCGGGAGGAGGCCCTTACCCTCTAAGGCCAGTTGGCCATATTTCATTGGCGCTCCGTCCGCAGTTTGCCTTCGTCGAGATCGAGAATGGTAAAGCTCGGGTCCACGTTTCGACTGGGGTTGGGTCACAGGCGCAGGGGGTGGAGGGAAGGTGAAGGGCGGGGGAGGCGGGAAGGCGAGGAAGAGGAAGGGCAGTCGGGCAGCGGGGCGGGTTGGGGGCGAGTGGGCGGCTGACGGGGCGCAGCTGGCGAGTAGCGACTGTACGGCGCTACGTTGGCTGGTTTCAGCTGGCTGCCGCGCAGGCTGTTCGGCAGGCGGAGACAGGGGGCTGGCCGGTGGGTGCGCGTGCGGGGAGCGAGGCTGAAGGCAGAGAGACCACGTTACTCCCCACTGCAATCCTGCGTCGCTTGGGCAGGGTGGGGGTGCGGAGGGGACGTGGGGCTGACGGCCGCCATACCTGTCTCTCCTCATCGGGTGTGCATGCTTCCCGCCAACCTGGCGAGCGCGAAGCGCGCAATTCGCGCGCCAATTTTTGATAGGAGAGGGTCACGCTGATACACAGCAGCCCGCGCGTGAGAAGTAAAAGCGCGCACGCACGGACGTCCTCCCACAAACACACAAGCGGCGGCAGCACTCGTTTCGACGGAGCTGTCCCAGAGCCGTGCTCCTGTTTCCTCTCATCTGGTCCACCTGTCTGTCTGTCTGTCCTCTATCAAGCCAAGCCAGTTGAGGACGTCGGCGTCAGTCTCTAGGAGAGGAGATCCGCGAGCAGAAAGAGCGGGGAAAGGGTGATTAGAGACGGGCGGATATAGGGGTACACAATGGCGGCGCTGGGGTTGTTGCCGAGAGCTGTTGGAGCTCCCACGGCCGCGGCTGCGGCTCTTCTCCCTGCTGAATTGTCCCGACGTAACCCGACACAGTCCGCCGGGATAGAGACGTTATCCACTTGCTCTGGGCTGGTTGCTGCGAGCAGCTTGCATGGCTGCAGGCATCTTCTTTGTTCGCGCGCAAGTAAGTGTGTAGAATCGTCTTCCCCCCCGTCCCCCCCCCATCTCCCCTTTCTTGTCGGAGAATGAACACTAATCGTACCCTTTTGCCTCTTCCCCGCCCCCCCCTTCCTGCCCCCCCCCCCCGCCTTCCCCTCCACTCCCCTGCTCTTTTCTCTTTGTCGTTTCCACACTCTATCTATCTCCTCTGCCTTTGTCTATCTGCCTCTCTATCCGTCTGTCTGTCTGTCTGTCTGTCTGTCTGTCTGTCTGTCTTCCCTACCCCCTCCTCAGCCTCCTCTACACTTCTTATGGCCCTCAATACACACACACACGCACACACACACACACGTACACAGAGAGACGCAATGTAGGTCTCTCTCTTTGTGGTCTTGACGTTGGATGTGTAGCTGTTCGTAGGTTTTTAGCTGCCTGTGTACTTAGCTTGGCTGCGAGCATGCTTCTCACGCGAATAGAACGCATACGCACTGTCTGGCCGTCGAAGGCCGTCTGTTAACGGATAGTCCCGCATTGCATTGCATTGCATGAGAGGGAAGTGCGACGGCGGTGCGCGGGAGCAGATCCCGATGTCCAAATGGCGCCGTGGTCGGAATGGATGGATATGTCCCGCTCCCAACGTACTAATCCAGAGTTACTCGTCATGATCGCAACGAGGAAAACTGCCCCCGCCGCTTCCCACCACGCCACCCCTCTTCCCCCCCTACCCTCCCCCCCCGGCCCCTAGCCCCAGCCCCACCAAAACTTGACCAAGAGGGAGAAGAACTGAGCAGGGTAGGGAGCGGGGGGGCACGGCGTGCGATTTTCTTTCTATCGCAATTTTTTATTATTTATTTTTCAGTATTGATTTTGATGGAGCTCATTGATTTGTATAATGCAATTCTTCTCGGTTCACCCTCCCACCCCACCTTCCCCCCCCCTCCCCCCGAAAAAGAGTTTTGATGGATTGATCGCGGGATCGAACGATCATGCAGTCGAGCGATGACTCGCAGAGTGACGATTTGGGAAGGAGGAGAGGGATGAGCCTGGCATTGCTTTGTTGCTTTTTCGTTCGGCGAGTGTTTGCTTGTGACTCTAAAAAAAAAAAAAGGAAGTCCTTTGCGGACATCCGTTAACGATACAGAGATGGTTTTTGAGGCAGGCGAAGTTAATTTAACGTGGGCGGAAATCCCCCCCCAAAAGGAAAAACACCCAAAAAAAAAAACAGATAAACAAACGAACCTGCCGATCCGGCGATTGTGGGATTATCGTGCTGTTCCCCCAAAAAATAAAATAAAATAAAATCGTGCTGTTTGATTTATCTACGCTTAGAGGCGGTTTTATTTTATTTTTGCCCCCTAAGATTTATCACTGGATTATTGCGCTTTTTGATGTATCTAGGCTAGAGACCTTGTTTATGCACACGGACAGGTTCTTGGTCAGTTACATGCAGTAATAAGGTGTTCCCCCCCCCCCCCCTCAAGATTTATTATTCGATTGTTGCGCTTTTTTATTTATCTAGGCTAGAGGCCTTGTGCATGCAGATGGACAGGTTTTTGTTCAGGTACATGCAGTCTTAGTAGAGTTCTTTTTTTTCCCCCTCAAGATTTATTACTGGATTATTGCACTGTTTGATTTACCTAGGCTAGAGGCCTTGTTCATGGAAATGGACAGGTCCTTGGGCAGGTACATGCAGTACTATTAAAATATCCTCCCCCCCCCCCCTCTAAAGATTTATTATTGGATCATTTCGCTGTTTGATTTATCTAGGTTAGAGGCCTTGTTCATGCAAACGGACAGGTTTTCGCTCAGATACATGGAGTCTTAAAACTGCCCAGGCGTTCTATTCGAGGGAACGTGGTAGGCGATGGCCGGCCCCAGGTAACAACGCATAACGACCTTACTTTTTTTTTATTATTCTTTTTATTAATTTTTAAAATAACGACCTTATTCTGTTCATCTGGTAGCATCTGGCTTCGAACTTGAATAAGGTCGTTATAAAAAATAATAATAATAATAAAAAATTGACGGGTGTACCAACTGAGCTAGGCCCAATTGGGACATGTATTTCTCTATTTTAGGATTTAATGAATTGGGAGATAATATTCTACGGTTTTTTGTTTTTATTTGGGGCCTAAGTCCGCCCTTTTTTTTTAAAATTAATTTTAATAATTTATTTATTTAAGTCCGCCCTTTCCCACGAGGGCGGCAATTGGGTGACCACTTCCCGAGCGAGCTTTGCCAGACATCGGCCCTCGCTCGACTACACAATACTCTATATGTATCTGAGGATCATAATCGTCCCAATACATTTCAAATGTTGGACTGTTCATTAGATGCACCTGGTGCAGAAAGGCGTCCAAATGCATTGAGAGTGTAGAGTAGTGGAGCGAGGCCCATCATCGCATCGATTCCACTCCTAACTGTTTTTCCACTTTCTTCGTTTCTCTCTCTCATCGTGGGGCGCCTAAAAAAAAAAAAAAAAAAA